GCCTAGTCAAAAAAAGCTTGTGTATTTTTCACACTTAAAATAGCTCCTAAAGAGGGCATGAAGTGAAAGTGAAGTCGCTCAGTCGTGCCCAACTCTTTGTGACCCCATGAACGATAGCCTACCAGGCTCCTCTGTCCATGGGGTTTTCCAGGCAAGAATACTGGAGTGGGCTGCCATTTCCTTCTCCAGGGAAAGAGGGCATAGTCTCCAACAAATTATTTTGATGTGACCAGGCAGAAAACAGACAATACAGAGAACTTCTCAGAGGGCCATGGGCCTCAGAAGAGAACAGGCAAAGAGTTACTCACTGAGAGAGAACATAGTTAGTGATGGGCCAGCCCAGGAAATAACTCCACTCTCAAGGCAAGGACCCTTGGCAATCCCTGCCTCAAAGGATTCATTTGCTGTGGTTCAGGGACTACCGTTTACATTGTCCAAATTCCCTTTTCTGAGTAGGAGCCTTTATTTCACTTCTTCTGGTCTTGCTCCTCCACTGTTTATTGCTAGCACGGAGCTTAGATAACTTGATGTTTACAGGTGATCATGATGAAGAGTCCATTCTGGATGGAATAGAGAGAACTGAATATCAAGTAGAGATTCTTGACTTTTGGACTAGATGATGGGGATCTGGACTGTTTTCTTTGGGGAGTGAGTGAATACATTCTGTGTGGGAAGAAGGCAGCATGCAGACAATTGGATGGTTGGAGGGGCAAACTTGCAAAGAAGCGGATAATCAGTTCTTAAACCCTTCCACAGTCATAGAACTGGACTACATTTCCCGGCCTGCCTTGCAATTACAACACGTCTAAATTCTCAACAACGTCCTGTGAGCAGAAGTGACGGATACTGCTTCTCAAATCTGGCTCTTCAGACCTTCACATTCCCTTCTCCTTACATGCCAGCTGGAACCCATATGTGATGGCAACCCTGCTTTGACCATACAGACGATGACATGTCCTAGGAGGTGGCAGAACAACAACTTGGAGCAAACCTAAATGATTCCAAGGAGAAAAGCTGTTCAGCAATCTGGACTGTTTTCATTGACATTATTCTCTGTAAGAAAAAAAAATACACTTCTTTGATCACTTAAATGTTAGGTCTCTTTGTTACAATGGTCTTACCATTACTAGTATATATAGTTGATGTCAGAAATCCATCTCTTCTTATGCTCTGGACTTGTGAGGAAGTCTTGGGGGGAACAACCTGCCTGTGTGTTTATTCATGCTCACATGTGCAGTAAAGAAAAAAAGCTGGTTAAAAATAAACTTTGAGGAGTATGATAAAATAAAAATATATACTTAGTGTTTGTCCCTGACTCCTAGCCCAGAGTTTCTAAAACACTTAGAATTTCCCGAGTAACAACAGTGTCTTTTGTTGTTCATAATTAGCACCTGCTGACTACACTTGAGACTAGGCTAATGGGGTGACTCAGCCCTAGATAGCATTATGATGGTGGCTGGTTGGCAGAAAGACCTAATGTGAGACGAAAAGGTGGAACTCTCAGCCCCACTCTCCAGTCTCTAGGAACAGGAAGGGATTTGAGACCAGCTTATAAAAACTCTCCAGCAGTGACGTTTGGGGAGCTCTTGTCTTTGTGAACACACGCATGTGCCGGAAGGGTCGTGCACCCACAGCAAGGTCTCCACCACCAACCCCATGCATCGCCTGACTCATCTCTTCTGTTTGGCTGTTCCTGAGTTATGTCTTTGCAATAAACTGGTCACTGTAAGTAAAGCATTCTCCTTATTTCTGTGTCAGTCCAGTGAGTTACCAAACTTGAAGAGGATGTTGTAGAAATCTCCAAATTTACAGCTGGGTGGACAGAATATAGGGGCCTCTCGGACTTTTGAATGATGTCTGAAGTGGCGGGCAATCACGTGGGACTGAGCCTGAACCTGTAGGGTCTGCATTGACTCTGGATATTTAGTGTCAGAGTTGAATTCAATTCTTGGACATCTAGTTGGTGTCAGAGGATTGGAGAATTGGTGTGGAAACTTGCCACAAATTTGGTGTCAGAAATGGTACCAGAAAAAAGACACCCTAGGAGATTAAGCCTACATAGAGTGTGGAGTGATAGGGGCTGACTCTAACATTTGCTTTACCTAAACACTGCAGTTTTGCCTCTGTCTCTCTGAACTCCTGCAGGTTGGCAACAGTAGCACCAACCTCAGGCACCACTGGACTGCCAGCAGGAGGCAAGAACCTGGTGCAGTGCCAACCTAAGAAAGTGTTACATTGGACTTTTCTAGCCTCAGAAGTGTGGTTGAGAACAGTAAATGCACTGCTTATTCTACAGATATCAGATCATCTTATGGAACTTGGCAACACATGTCCCCAAACTGATACTGTGACCTTTCACCCGCTGTTATGAATGGTCATCACTCAAGCCCAGGCTCTAGAAGACATAGCTGCTGGACAGTCATGCATTTCTGCCCCTTCCCCACCACCTGCCCTGCTGCAAGCAACACTAGGAAGAATTCCAGGATTCTGCGACATCACTTTAGGTTTCTGTGCCTGAACTAGGCCCAAGTTGGGGATAGCAGACATATGTTAAACTGAATGAGAAGCTGAGGTTTTGATTTACATTGGGCTGAGCTTTTTTTTTCTTTTCAATTAAAATTTTTTTCTGGCTTTGATGAGATATAATTGTGGACAGGGTTTTTTAATACCTGAAAATGATACTATCTGTTAGTATTTTAAAGTGAGCAGGAAAACTATAGGATCTACCTGTTTAGGATCCTGTATAGGATCCAGGGAAGAAGCGAGAAACACATAGCATATTTGAAAGCAATAGACAAAGCAAATCATGTGGCTTTCTGCTTGTAGTTGCCAAGTGCATTTTATTCAACGTGTAATGTGGATCAGGTTTGGGTGTGAACTCCTGCCTACTTGGCTATCATGCTTCCACCATAACCATGAATCAGTGGAATGGCTGATGAGGTCCCTGTTTTCAACAGCAATATCATTTGGCAGCACTAGCAACAACAAAAATTTGATTTTTTCCTAAAGTTTTTCTCTCTTCAAGGCAAGAGCAATTAGAACTAAACCCTTAAGCTCAGTAAGCATCAGAGATTCTGGAGGGAGAAATATGATCAGGAGAGAAAAATATTCCAGCACAATACACATCCCCCAAACAGTTAATGTGAGTATTCAAAGGTGGGCTTCCCAGGGAGCTCCGTGGTAAAGATTCCACCTACCAATGTAGGAGATGCAGGAGACACAGGTTGGGAAGACGCCCTGGAGAAAGGAATGGCAACCCACTCCAGTGTTCTTGCCCGAGAAATCCCATGGACAGAGGTGCATGGTGGGCTACAGTCCATGGGGTCACAAAGAGTCAGACTGAGTGACTGAGCGCACACACATACACTTATTCAAAGGCAAGTTTCACGAAGCTATCTTCTGGCCTCGAAACTGTCTAACTCCAGACTTCTTCTATATGAGACATAAATTGACAACTTATTTCACTCAGTCCTCTTTGATATAATATCTGTCATATATTAAAAGCTTCTCTAAATAAGCAAAAGATAAACAACTTTGTAGAAAAATAGGCAAAGGAAAGCAGGTATTCACACAAGGAAGAAATACAAATGGACAATAAGTATCTGAAAATATACTTAACCTCAGTAATAACTAAAGAAATATAAATATAAAAATAAAATACTGTTTCTTACTTATCAGGGTGGCAAAATTTTTAAATATAAATTATATTTGGTTGGAAAGGGTCTGGGGAAATATACTGTTATTCACCATCAATGGGACTATAACTTGGAAAAGTCTTTTTTGGAAAACAGTTGGGAAATAGCTATGAAAATTAAAACTGCATTTGCATATGAGCATGGACACATATCAATGTAAAAAGTGTGTAAAAGTGCAATGTATAGAAAATGGCTTGGAAAGATATATAATAAGCTTAATGGTATTTCTATTTCTCAGGAGAGGACAGACAGTGGATTGGAAGGAGAGTATTAATGGAAATTCGCTTTTTACACCAAGACTTAAAATTTGCTGTGTGTGTATGTTAGTCAGTTGTGTCTGACTTTTTGAGAACCCATGGATTGTAGCCCGCCAGGAACTTCTGTCCATGGAATTCTCCAGGCAAGAACACTGGAGTGGGGAGCCATCCCCTTCTCCAGGGGGTCTTCTTGACCCAGGGACCAAACCCAGGTCTCCTGCATTGCATTCTTTACCATCTAAGCCACCAGGGAAGCCCTAATAATTGTTATTTTTGTAATTAAAATTTTTGAATGAAAAATTAGTCACACTAGCTTTTCAAAGTCAAATAGTTAAATATATAAGGAAACAAAATATTTTAATTGATTTATGTCCCTTTAAAATAGGTTGTTGAGTATTGAGTAGGCATAGTCTGCTCAAATTTAAGTAAGTTTTGGAAAACTGAACCACAAACCATACCTTGTTATAGGTAGGGTGATATTTTACATCCCTGGGCAGTACTGATCATGGTTTGCTTTTTTTTTTTTTTTTAATTAATTAACTTATTTGGCCACACCAAATAAGTCTTAATTGCAGCACATGGGATCCTTGATTTTGGTTGCCGCATGCAGGATCTATTTAGTTACAGAATGTGGGATGCAGTTCCCTAACCAGAGATGGAAACCAGTCCTCCTGCATTGGGAATGTGGAGTCTTAGCCCCTGGACCACCAGAGAAATCCCTAAACAAGGCTTGCTTTAAGCAATTAAAGATTAAAAATACAACCTTATGGAAAGCATTTTGAAATAAGGCTAGAGAGATTTTCATTTTTAAGTAAAAAATCACGAATTCTATTATTAGTTATCTTTTCTTTTTGGCAGAGTCTGTCTTCAATTTTTAAGCACGTGGGCCAAAGAAATGGCCTTCTGCCAACCCAAATTTATGTCCTCGTTCATTTTCAGGCCAAATTCATTCCAAATAACAGCAAGTCTTTCAAGAAATGTATATATTTTTAATATCAAAGATTTAAACCAAAAAAAAGTTATTTAAAATATAAAGAGACAGTCTTACTTGGTCCTCAAAAGATAGAGCCTGAGCGACGTCTCTCGGAAATCCGTCAATAACAATGCCCACTTCATCAGGCATTTGCATCAATTTTTGTTTTATCTCTGTAATTGTTGTTTCCTTTTTTTTTTAAGAAAAAAGATGAAAAACCAGAGTTAAACTTACACTGACAACTAGTAGAAGAATCTTTTCAGAACAGAAGCAAATTATAACAGTACCTGTGGGGCCAGTTCTCCAGTTGTAATTATTTTGGCAATAAGACTCCATTTCCTATTGCTGCTGGTACTGTGGATCTTCTTCCTTAATAATTCTCCTACTGAAATGTACTGAAATCCATAACGTTCTGCGATTTTCAAACTCTGAGTACCCTTTCCACTTCCTGGACCACCTGTCATTTAAAACAAGCAAAACTTTGACCTTCTGATATAATAAGAAATCCCTTTTTATACAGCTATTGTCTTCATCTTGAGATGAAGAGTTTAGACCAACAACCAGTGTGGAAACTATTCTACTTGTTTGTGACATTCTCAGAGCTACCTTTGAATGCAGAGAAAGTGTGGATTTTGTCAAGGAAAGGGTAGAACTGTCATGATCAACTTATTAAATGGAAGATACCTTTTTTCCTTCACCAATTTTAGTAAACAACTAATTTTAAAAGTTGAATAATGCAACTGAAACCGCTTCCATTTTTTTCTGTGTAAGCTCTAACACTTTTATCCTCTGTAATAAAAAAAATCTGTGAGATATAAAAGACAATGATCAAAATGACAGAAATGTATTACACAACAATAGAGTTCAAGTGCAGTTTTGTGAAATGTAACAATTAGTTTTAACCAAAAGCACAGCAATATTGACATGGCTTCTTTAAATTTTTCTTTGAACTGTCCAAGCATCTCTTTGTCTTATTGCCTTTAAATTCAAAAGAAGTTTGATGCAATAAATACGAAGAGTGAATGGAAGAGATCTTTAAGGTAGAACAATTTCACAGAACTCATGATAATTTTGATTTTGGGACACATTAGCATGAAATAATCAGTATTTTGCAACACAGATCAATACCAATAATTGGGAACTGCTATTTATTTTTTTAAAACATAAGCACCTAAATAATTATAAAATATATGCCTCAAATTTTATTTCCAAATATTATAGTATCTTAGTTAATTTATATTTTTAGACAACCTAGATTAATTGGAATCTAAAGTCTGGGTAAATTTCAAAATAATGCACATAACAATCATCCCACTCTGATTTGTTATTTGTTGGCAATTATACAAATAAAATATTTTCAAGTACTTAATCATAAATTACTGAGTGTAGACAGAATATTTTTAAAATATGCAATGAACTAATTTTGGTAATATTCACTGAAATATAATTCTAATTTGTTAAACCATATTAAAAATAAAAATTCAATAGAAAAGTGAGTTGATGGTCTCTACTAATTCCATTTACCAATTTTTTTTGGGGTAGAAATCATTCTACATATCATTATTTAGTACATTTAAAAAAATTCTTAAAAAAAAAATTCTTGTTGCAAATAACAAGCAAAAAAAAAATGGTGTTTGTTTCACTTTGTTTTGGATTTTGTAGGAGAATTCTGAGTGAGTCAACTTGGTTGGCCAGGGCTTATTTTCTTTAAAAAATGTTTAACACCCAGAAGTCTAAGATCAGCTAGTATACTGAGATCCTTTTCTTAACCTCAATCCCAAATACCATTCCTCGTAAAACTGGCTTTTGTCTTTTCATTGCCTCATTAAACTTAGAAATTTATTGACATTTTGGACATTCTCTTGCTAAGAAGCTCTAAATCCAATCCTATTAGACTTACCATTAAACTACCATTAATACTATATTAAATTCATTACTTCCAAATGAAAAGCAAGTTTTGGTCTCAAATATTCATAGCTACTTTTGGCCTATTAAATCATGGGCAAACCATGGACTGGCTTGAAGAAAAATAAATACATGACCAACGTTGTCAACTAAGTCAGACTAATTTGACCCTTGAAGAATGAAAGCTATCTTTCATAAACTACACTTTTAGACCTTTCTTAATCTTATGATCTCATAAGTCATCAAATTAAGACACTACAAGTTTCACTGAGTTAAAAAAAAATTCAAACATGCTAAGAAACTTATGGCACCTTCAAGAAAAAATAGCTTTTTGTCAACTAATGGAGGCAACAGTAGATAACAAAAAATATGATTAGCATAATTAACAGAGAATAGCATTAATATATTGGATGAATTTGATTACTGAAGCATCATAACAAATTAATCTTATTTTCTTCTCCCTGAAACCAGAATAAGTTTAATTTGATACATTTATTTAATTCCACTACTTATAAATACTAGGATCCATCTTACTCTTAGATTTTACCATTATGCTAACATAAGAAAGATTCATTAATATCTGTGCCAAGGAGGCTAGCTTTAAAAAATTTTTTTTGTATTTCCAGAAGGGAAATTTTGCTTATTTAGATGTGGGTATCTGTACTCCCCCACTCTTTGTCAGGATGGAACTAATAAAAATTTGTAAGGTTCAGGTACAATTATTTTACAATTCCTCAAAAGTCATAAAATTGTCCCAATTTTCTCAGACAACCTAAGGTTCAATTCTTTTCTTCTCTTATCTCAGTCCTCTAAAAGTTATTTCCACTCACTGGTTCTGTTTCATTCTTATAACACATAAAATGTTATAACACATTGTGTAAGTCTAAAACCAAAATCACACTCTTGGGAAACTAGTTGATTTTATTCAGTAAAAAAGAATTTTGAAGTGGATGAGATTTGAGCATTTGTATCTTCTCCACAGATCTTAGTTTACTGAAATATCTTAATCATTTTCATATAAAATTCACAGTGTACAAAAAATTCATATACATGCACTATTTTTACAACGGCAACTTGTATTACACCCTTTTCATGAACAATCGAGTTTTCATTTGTTTATCCTGATAATAATCACCATTACTGTATTAACAACAAGAAAAACAAAACTGAGAGAATATCTCATTATAAAATAATGAAATAATTTCCAACAATTCTTTACCTCTGGCTTTATCTTTTAGTAAAGCATTTCCTTGTCTTCTAGGCAAGAGCTCCAAAATTTTAAGCACATACACAAAAATTCCAGTTTCAAGAATAGATAGAGATTTATGGCATAATAGTTAGTGGTTGCCATAAACCATGAGAATATTTTGACATTTTAGAAAACTGATTTCTGTACTCTCATCCTACAATTATTATAACAATCCAGGGCTAAATATATTTGCAACTTTATTTTCATTACACTTAAAGATGTACAAATGTCCCTCCTGCTAGTCTGGTAACTTGAATTCTTTTTCTTATGTTTATTGGCATGTTTTTTCTCAGTTGCCATCATCATTACATCTTTTGGGAACAGTATTTCTTTGCTTGGGGGCTGTATACACGTGGTCTTTGGCTAACAATTACTGACTAGAATAGCTTTGAATATCTCACACTAGATTTTTGCTTTTGGTCATCTTTGCAAAAGCTGAGTCAAATTGGAAAGTGAGACAATGATTACAAATGTTTCATGTTCACTGGTCTCTTCATAATTCTACAGCTTTTGAGGAAGCTAGAATTGCAAGGGTGGTCAAAAATGCATGTTGTAAAATTACTTAAGACATTTTCAATATTGATTCCTTGTGATGCCTTGTGAAATGGCATCAGACTGATACTTTCATATTCAACATAAGATTCACAGTGGCGATTTAAAAAATTAACTATTATCCTTGTTATATTCATTAATACTCAGATGTTACTTGCTGCGTAAAACATTGTTCTATTAGATTTGCTTGTCTAATAATATCAAACTTAGATTTTATTTTAGGTACCAGTATGTCATAAGGAAGATTCATTTATATGAATCTTTACCAACATATTATTATTATTTATTTTTTTGCTCAAAAGTTAAGTCAGTAAAAATTCCATTTGTTGAGTTAAAGGGAAAAAAACCACATCATGTTAGAACACTTCTAATAGATGCAATTACCTACGTTAAAAAGTAAGCAGATAAAAACCACAAGACAACAAATCTTGAAGAGGTCACTCATTTTCAATGACCAAGAATTTCTACGACATTGTAATGAGATTCTATAAATGTCCAATAGGCATTAAATGTAACAATATCTTCTATTGAAAATGATGCTAAAATATGTCTATCTACTGTCTCTCGAGTTTTTGTTTCTACTCTATTTATTATCCAACTAAGTATTTGCAAATATGGTGCATAGTTGACATAATTTTTGAAATATAAGCATATAAACAAAGAGAGCAATAATATGAGAATTTTGCTTTCTGTCTCATACCTATGACAAGAATGATTTTTGGTCGAGGTCTAGTAGGATCAAAGACCTCATACTCCTCAATTAGCTCTGCAGTCTCAGAAAGGTCTGTGTCACTTTCTATGGAGAATTGATGGATTGGAGGGAGCCGATCATACCGCCGATAAGGAAAGTTTGAATTTTCAGGCATTACTGCAAAAGAGTAAGATAACTTTGAAACGGAAAAAAAAAAAGCACAATAAAACATTTTATGCACTTAACCAATTAGTTGAAGAAATTTTAACAGTAAATGATTCTGATTGTTTTCAACTGAGAGTAGATTCCTATCCCCTTAAGTGGTCAGCAAACTTTTCCTTAAAGGGTCGGATAGTCTCCACTTGGGGCTCTGAGGGACATAGAGTCTCACACTACAATGATCAATAGTTAGGAAAACAGTCTTAGACAATAAGTAAATAAATGGATGTGCTTGTGTTCCAATTAAACTTTGTTTATAAAAAACAAGCAGCAAGCCAGACTTGGCCCTCGGTTCACAGGCTGCCAACTTAGGCCCCAGACGAACCTCCTTAAGCTTGCCCAGTCTTGCTTGGTAGTTCACGTATATCCTGTTCTCCGAAAATGGTGCTCCCTAGAGTAGTGTACTGCATACCTTCACAACTTTCTCAACCACATGCAGCTGCCCATGGAGGTAATGCTAACATTGTTTCATTTATCCATAAATATAGATATGCAGTCACTATGATTCAGGTACTATGATGTCATTCTGTGGGACAGCTTGGTGGCATAATGCACAAAAACTTAAGGTGTTGTTACAAGGCAGAGAGTAGCAAACGTTTTCTACATTTGGAACATCTTTCATTGTCATTTAACTTTACTTTTCCAATATTTATTATCTTTAATCTCCTTGATTTAAAAATGTGACTATGAAGATTTAAAGTTACATCTACAATAGCAACAAATATTTGCTATTTATTGTTAGACATGTTAGTGTGCTGAGGATGGGTCAGTAGAAGAATAAAATAAGATGTAATCCTGTCCTCACAGAGCTTACAATATAGAGCTTACATGCTTATATTTGGTAGCAGTGTGTATACCAGGTTTGTTAAGTGCTAAAATGAATATCTCTATGGTAAACACCATAGGAGTTCAATGAATGAGTAGGTCCATCTGGGCTGGAGTGCTATAAAAGAACTTGCAAAGGAGGTAGGACTTGAATTTTGAAAGACTAGAGCAGGTGATGAAATGTAGAAAGCATTTCTCAGTTGGGAGAAATAAAATACAAGACTTAAGAGTCGGAAATACAAATGACATATTCAAATAGATCAGAGGACAGAGCTGGCAAGCCCAAGTCAGGCAGATGGCCTCAACCAGCTATTGATATTTGATTCATAGATCCTTCCTTCTTCATCATGGGCTGGTATTCAAGGAGGCAAAGAGAAGCTGTAACTACCCCAAAGGCAACAGCACAAAGGAGATGGAAAGTCACCTGGCCTTCCATGAGAAATCTGGTTAAGAGCATTACTGGATTTTAGCATGGCATAACGCTCACATCTCCCCAGGGGATGTTGATCAGGCAGAACTTTTCATTTCCTGTTCATACAATAAATGAGGTCATTGACTACTGACTCATGGGACTCACTTTAATTACAAGAAAAGAGTGAGGTTGTCTACAGATGACAGTGGGTATTCTTTAGAAAATTCTGGGAAGGGCTATGTCAGTAAAGGCACTAACAATATTATCCTGTTCTGCCTTGAAATTGAATTGCCTCATCCAACACAGGGCAACACTTTAAGCATTATCCTTGACTATTTTCTTCCCTCACTCTTCACATCTGTTCCCATAGACTTACCTCTAAAACATATCTGAAATGCACAGTTTTTTTTTTCCTCTCTCTCCACTACCACAACTCTTCCCCAAACTACCATCATTTACCCAGACTACTGAAATAGACCTCTACTGGTTGCTTGCTTTCACACTCGGCCCAAAGTCCATTGCTTGAAATACTCTTTCCTTACTGATCCCATGGCTAACTGCTTCTTGTCACTCACATTTCAGTTTAAATGTCACCTCCTATAAGAGGACTTTACTGACATTTTAATCTGGGGCAGCCACCCAGTTAGTTTCAAGGACATCACCCCCTATAATAATGCTCTGCATAGCACATACCTCTTCACTATCTGAGAGGCCTCTAATTCATTCGCTGTTTGTCCTCTCCCATTAGAAAAAGTTCCATGACAGCAAACAACTTAGCACGCACATGGAGAAAAGCCAGAAGATGGGTAGGTAGTGTGTGGTCACAATGTGGAGGACTTTAATCACCAGGGTAAGGGTTTCAGCTTCACTCTGGTAGAAACTTTGGAGTGGAGGCTTTTTTGGGGGTAGAGGGATCACATAATGAAATATGAAATATGTTTTTCAGGAAAATAAATCTGGTGGTGGTTAGAATGGATTTGAGTAGGGAAAAACTAGGGGCAGAAAGAGTACAGCTAGGGGGCTGTTAAAGTAATTCACACAAGAGAAGTGAGGGCTTAGGTAAGAGGGGAAGTAAGGGATATGGAAATGAGTGGCTGGATATGAAGGACATGATTTGGATTAGGAGATGGGGTTCTCAGATGGTGCTAGTGGTAAAGAACCTGCCTGCCAATGCAGGAGACATGAGTTCAGTCCCTGGGTTGGGAAGATCCCCTGGAGGAGGGTATGGCAATTCCCTCCCATATTCTTGCCTGGAGAATCCCATGGACAGAGGAGCTGGTGGGCTACAGTCCCAAGGGTCGCACAGGTTGGACATGACTGAAGTGACTTAGCACGCACACACGCATGAGAGATCAGTGAAGGTGACTGTTCAAAAACAACTGCCAGGTGTCAAGCCTAAAGAATAGGGAACACACTGCATTTCATACTGTATCTTCCTGCCCTCTCTTTAATGCTCCAGAAATACTGGGCTTCTCTCCTTCCTGTCTTTATTCTGGCCTCTCCTTCTATGTCAGGTATTTCTGTTCTCTGTTCCCTAGTACACTCTCAGTCTCCTCCATCCTTTTCTATCTGACACCTACACAGCTTTCTGTCTCTTATATTAGCATATCACTTCTTCTAGGAAGCCTACCTTGAATCTAGCCCAGGATGGATCCATGGGCCTTGTTAATATCAGTTATGTAGCATATGGTATTTCCTATAGCATTCACTGTGCTTCTAATTATATATTTAATGCCTGGCTTCATCCTACACTGTGAGTTCCATGAGGGCATGTGCCACATTTGTTCTTTCTTGGAGGCTCCACGTCAGTCTTAAAAGCGTGTCTGACATATAGCAGTACTCAACACATGGTTATTTTATAGCTCAACTGACTCATTGACTGACTCCATGGAAATCAGAAAACGAGAGTCATTTTGAAGCAAATATGATGTGTTTAGTTTTTGACATGTTGAGTAAAGATGACAATGAGATATTCCAAAAGAAAAGTTCTGTGGACATTTGGAGCTATGGGACTAAAACTCTTAATTTATGAGCAATCATTTGTTTAGTTGTACATACACTGCAAAAAATGGATGCTCATCTCACATTTATAGTACAACATTTTAAAGAACCATCAGCTAATAATTTATCCTTGTTTTATCATATTTTTACTTAGAAAAGTAAGTTGCTTAAAAATTATTAAAATGTTTTATTTCACAGAATAATTTTTCATGATAATTATATATTAGCATAGCTCTGTCAATATTTCAGCAAAAATGCACAAATCACTTTATTTCTAGAAATAATAACAACACTTTAAGTTACAGAGAAGTTAGCAATACTGTTGATTTTTAACAATATAGTCTATAAACCACAGTTAAAAACCTACAAAGCACAAACTTGTACACCGGTTCATAAAATAAAATTTGATTATTACAGGAGTCTTCAGTTTAGAAACTATTTTCTGCCTTTTAGGCTATGTTCCAGATATCAGACAGTGTGATGCAACATTCTTGTTACTATAGTAAGTGAAAGCTTTTACTTGATGATTAAGCAAAAGATTTCTAAGTGGGAATTCTGGTAAAGTGTCAGTAGGTATGGAGAGTCTAAAATTAACAAGCAATTTCAATTTTAATGAAAGTTAAACCTACATTTTCCATTCCTATTGTAGCTCATCCTGCTAATCGAGAGTTCCAAAATGGTCATCAGTGGGTCCAATGTAGCCCCATAGACGTGCTTTGTTCATCTTGATGTATTTCCAAAATTTGTGCTAAACTGCCTTTAGACAATGACTGCCCCCTCTAGTCTTGTTCTCCAGTTTCACCATAGTCCCCACATTGTCTATTACATACTTGGCCTGCCTGGCTTCTATATATAATGAAGACAAGTAATAGTATAAAATAGAAGCATTCAGATTTCATTTTGTTACGAAACAGTAGTTTATACAACCAGTCTGAGAGTAGCTTTTCGATTAGGTGAATGTCATATCCTCTTAGATTTACTCTTGAAAGCATAAACATATCTTAGACTAAATCCAGTAACACTTAAGGTTTGTAGTGCTTTAAGGTTTAAAAAGAAGTTCCCCATATTTGTCACTTGATTTAACAAGGGCAGAGGGCATGTATTTAACATTGAGCCAGATTCAAATATATTATGACATTCTGGGAAGGAAAGTAGCCCTTTGGGGAAGGTGTATGAACCCTTCAAGCTCACAGAAATATCATTGTGTTCCCTTAAGCAGTAATTTCCTAAGTGGTCTGCCACTGTGATAACTGCCTACAGGTGCTCTTTTGAACAACGAAGCCTAAATGACCTAGAGGAGCTCCTGCATAGACAGAGAAGTCTTCTCCTCTCCAGAGATATTTCTGAGACAATAGCATTTCTGCTTTTTCTCCTTGCTTGTGTTTCTTAAAAATTAATACACTATGACTCCTCCCCATGTTCAAATAAAATTTAAGGGGGTCAAGGTAAGATGTTGCTCTAGCTTAGTCGTTAAGTTGTGTCTGACTCTTTGCAACCCTATGGACTGTAGCCCACCAGGCTCTCCTGTCCGTGGAATTTTCCTGGCAAGAATACTGGAGTGGGCTGCCATTTCCTTCTCCAGGGGATCTTTTCAATTCAGGGATTCAACCCGTTTCTCCTGCATTGGCAGGTGGGCTCTTTACCACTAAGCCACCAGGGAAGCCCCACTGGTAAGATATAACAAACTAAAATGTATTTCCCCTTGTATTTATTGCAAATAGAATTGTCTCTGTTTCAAATTCTGTCTGCATAACTGAAACTTATCTAGGTACAATTTTTGAGAATGGTTTAAATTTTGAAAATAGAATGATTTTGGCCACTGGAAAAGAATTAATTGGCTTCTTCTGATTGGAACTGATTCCACTTTGCAAATACTATTGTATTTCTCAATTTTATCTGGAGCCTAAAAGGCTGCTTGGCTGATGTTGAACTAATTTTGATAAACACAAATTTCGAAAAGCTAGAATACCATGAATCTCCTCTAGTGAACTCCAGTTCTTAGTTCCAAATTATTCCTAAAATTGTTAAACAAGTTTATGCATCCCGTTTCTTTTATAGCACCCAAATGCCTAATCTCATGCTTTGCATTCAGTAGCTGCTAAATAAATCCTTCTTGAGTTAACTAGTATAAACTTTACATACATTTATGCAGATACATTAAAATGAATTTGGAAACACAGCAACAAGTTAAATCTCTTCTTAGATAATAAAAATGTTATAGTTATTATAACTATTGACTTTGTCTGTCATCTACTCATTTATTTGGAAAAGTCTTATTGCAATTTTAAGAAAAATTCAGTTTGTTAATGTAACTCATTTTACAAAATAATGAAGTCAGTAAAAAATTTCATTAAGCTTTTAATGAAGTACTGAACAATGGTATGTAATTGTGTTTGTCTTATCATAGAGATTAGAATTAGTAGCAGAGAGAAATTAGTCATGTTTCAGGACCAAATATCCTTTCAGGCATTTGAAAACCTATTAAATTAAATCACTGCCTACAGTTTATATGTTATGTTTTAAAGAATATTGCTATAAATATAAACTATTATTCTACATATACATTACCATTTCTTAGGAAGGATCTCCGTGACTGTCCTCCATTGAGTGGAGGTAAAGTCTTCTTCTCCTGGCTTACAAATGTATCCCATTTCACCTTGTCACATCCCCCTAATTCCTTTACTTTCTGTAAACAACTTTCCAAGTACTCTATTGGGTCTTCAGGCTTCGAACACATCAGTCCATTCAAAAGGCTCTGAAATATAACAAAATACGTCCACATAAAATATGTTTTTAAACCACCTTTGTCAAAATAGTGTATATCCCATCTTTAAATTCTGGGTTGTTTAGATTCTTTGCATTTTTTTAATAAACAATTTGAGTTGAAATTATGTTCTAATTGAGTAATTAAAACAACCCCTTAAATTCTTGACCAGTTAGTTTTCAGCTCAGCATTCTCTGTCCTTTAAACAACTAAGGCCAACTGCATTGTTTAAAATGGAAGAAATCTATCAATATGAGACTAAGTACGGTGTGTAAAAATGCCCCAGTCATGATTGATTTCATTCCTACCCATCCTTAAAGTCTCCAAGCCTCAGTTGCAGAGGATGATTTATGGATTGAAATGCCTGAAACACAGTAAATAATAAATGTTGATGGTTTTAATCACCATCATAATCATCATCAGAAAGGCCCCACTGAGCCCTAGGGCTGGGTTGCAGACCCCTTCTTTGGTGTTCATCATACCCAGAAAAAACTCTCACCTGTCATTCATACTAAAACCATCAGTTTATGTTTTGGTCTTCTCTTCTAACCTAAAAAATCTTCAACAATACAGTGTGGGTCTTATTTATTTCTCAATATCCAGCCTCTGACACTTTGCCTTGCACATGGCAGGTACATCCTGGACTGTTCTCTAATCAGAAAAAAAATCCACTCAAAACATAAAGACTGACTCCAAAAAATCTGTTTGATATATAATAAATCACTACAATGTATATATTTCAATATGTAATTGAAATTACAGAACAAAGCCTGGTGTCCTGGTGTCTGATATGTCACAAGTATCAATTTCTATAAATGCTACAAATTAGGAAATGCTCATTCCTGGGAACTGAACTGATGTGAAAAATGTTTTCACTTGGAGTATTTTATGGAATACTCCATATTGAGGATTATTATCACTGTTATTAGTTTAAAAAATGTACACTCTTTGAAAGGCTAACAGCTTTTCTTAATACAGCATTTTATTCTTGTGCAAGTTGCTCAAAATGGTAGGCAGTTTCTACCAGGTGCATTAGTCCTCTGAAATCCTAAATAAGATGGGTTACAATGTTCAATTTGAGGGGTTCAATGGCAGAGGGAGTAGAAAAAGCTAACCTGGGCATTCACATCCAGTTTATATGTCAAGGTCTGTGCTACACACACACACACACACACACACACACACATTGCGTTTAACTCCTCACATTCCTCCTACATTAACGTAGCTCACTCCATGACAGGGCTTACTCTAGATCTTACTGTATATCTATGTGCTTAAGCTTACTTAATGCACTTTCAGTCCTATGTGGCATTATTATCCCCATTCCTAGACTAGGAAATCAGGGTTCAGAGGTGTTAGTGAGTTGACCTAGGTTACTCAGCTAGAAACTCCTAGGCCTAGGATTCCAACTCAATGGTTTTGATTTCCTATATTCCTCTCTCTACATCTTGCAAAAACATATATGGAATAAAAAGAAAGTGCCAGAAAATCTGTGCCCCATAGGTAATCCAACTGCAATTTGAGTCATTCAAGATTGAAAGTGAAAGTGAAAGTCACTCAGTCTTGTCCGACTCTTTGCAACCCCATGGACTATACAGTCCAAGGAATTCTCCAGGCCAGAATACTGGAGTGGGTAGCCTATCCCTTCTCCAGGGGATCTTCACAACCCAGGGATCAAACCCAGGTCTTCTGCATTGCAGGTGGATTCTTTACCAACTGAGATCAGACCTTTAATTTTTTTTATCCCTCAGTTCAGTTCAGTCACTCAGTCGTGTCTGACTCTTTGAGACCCCATGGACTGCAACAAGGCAGGCCCCACTGTCCATCACCAACTCCTGGAGCTTGCTCAAACTCATGGCCATTGAGTCAGTGATGCCATCTGACCATCTTATCTTCTGTCATCCCCTTCTCCTCCCGCCCTCAACCTTGCCCAGCATCAGGGTCTTTTCCAATGAGTCAGTTCTTCACATCAGGTGGCCAAGTTAGAGTTTCAGCTTCAGTATCAGTCCTTCCAATGAATATTCAGGACTAATTTCCTTTAGGATTGACTGGTTTGATCTCCTTGTAGTCCAAGGGACTCTCAAGAGTCTCCTTCAACACCACAGTTCAAAAGCATCAATTCTTTGGTGTTCATCTTTCATTATAGTCTAACTCTCATCCATACATGACTACTGGAAAAACCATAGGTTTGACTAGATGGACCTTTGTCAGCAAAGTAATGTCTCTGCTTTATAATATGCTGTCTAGGTTGGTCATAGCTTTTCTTCCAAGGAGCAAGTGTCTTTTAATTTCATGGCTACGGTCACTATCTGCAGTGATTCTGGAGCCCAAAAAGATAAAGTCTGTCACTGTTTCCATTGTTTCTTCATCTATCAGCCACGAAGTAATGGGATCGGATGCCATGATCCTAACTTTGTGAATGTTGAGTTTTAAGCAAACATTGAGTTCTTATCCCTTTTATTGCCTAAAATGAGTAAACATACTCAATGAAGAATTTTTTGCTGGAAAATATATGTTTCCACCCTCTCTAACCAAGTCTGATTCCACAAGGGGTACAGATATCAGAAGCTAGGATGAGGTTCACTCCTTCATAGATAATTTAAATCTTTTCTTCTAATAGTCACCATCAGGGATCCAAAACAACCAGCAGATATTGTTTTACTCAGTCTATTTGAGTTAACCCTCTGAGAACTTGAGTAATTTATTTTGACTTTCTCCAGTATTCAAATGAATTGCCAAATCTCTGCTCTAAGGTACAATGACACAAGATCAATATACACACCATGAAGTTAACTAGAGTTAAGATTTCATAACAAAACGAGGGAAAAGTGATTTTTGCCTTAAACATTTAATCTAGAAATGGAAGCACATCCCAAACTTGAACCTATCCTTTAAGCCCATGTGATGTCTCATGTCAGAAAGAAATCTGAAATGTCAGTAAGATACAGATTGCTGCTTGACAATATGCAGATTCAATAATCATTCACTTGGTCTACAATGGTGTCTAATATCTACAATTGTGTCCAATGGTTTGGGTTTGATAGATATTTAATTGAAACTTTATATACCTGGAAACTTTATACAGGTACCCATATTGCGGTTTTGAGGGATAAAATTCAGTTTGGAAACTTAAAGCATTTGGTTTTGCTATCTACATTCATCACATGGAGAACTGCCAAGTTTTACTTCTCTCTTGTGCTATGCTCAGCACAGATTCTTCTTACAGGAAGGATGGAGACTTTGGAGGTCACCAGCAGTCTCCTCCATCTTCGATTGCCTGGGATTGCATTTAAGTACTCTATAATTCTGTATTTCACCTAAGCAAGTTGACTTCCTTTTCTGGGTGTGTACTATTTTGTAATCTCCCATTCATATGCACAAAAGCCAAGGAAAAGCATAGCACCTGAACAAAAGCACCTGCCATCGCTTATTTGTATAAACAGTTTCATGAACAAACGATCAAAATTCTCTGTGGTTACCAAGGGGAAAAACAGGACCCACATTTATAAAGAAAATAGGAGTACTATTTAAGTGGTACTTTGCAATCAGGTGACCCTCCTGCAGATGCTTCTAATTACTCTTTTAGGAATGACACTGATCTCAGTAGTAGTATTTATGGACAAAACCCTTCAGCTCTTCATCTCCATGTTTACTTTTTGAAAACAGAAACAAAGAAAAATTCTTAACAAGAATCCTACAAATCCTCAAGACCTGTCCTTATGCAACATCTCCTGATTATTTTCAAATACTAGTGACACATTTGCTAGACTTGAGTTTCATGTACTAGGCTTGAGCTCAGTGGGTGATTTACCTGGATATCTTGTTTTCAGAATAGACCTGAAATCGGTGGTTTAAGAGGTGAGTTAAAAAGGAAGGTCTGTAATTATGGAGGTCCATTTAAAGACAATTTGGGAAAACAGAGGCAAAATTATTTTTCCAAGTAGTGTTATAAAATTCCTTTTAGCAGAACAATCCCCCTCAAATAGGAGAAACAGCAATGCACGACTTCTAGTTTACTATATTAATCTATAGTCTATCACCTTTCAAAAATGAGGGACCCGGTTTCAGGACTCGCTCTATGAAGCCTGGCTTGCTTCCATTTTTTTCCTTAACCTAAGTAAAAACACAGGATTAAGGAATGCTATAAAATTCAAATACAGAGAGAAGGAAAGGAAGCAAAACAACTCGCGAGGTTGGCTGTCATTTAGAACTAACCAAGGTTCTAGTTCATCCTCCAGCCTCCTCTCCTACGTTCTCCAAGTGTCCCCATCCCCGGGGTCCCCGGTGCAGATGATGCTGTGATGCGGTGGGAAGAAGACAGAGCAACAGGAGTCACGCCTGCCTCGCCACTCCCTCTCCGACTGGCTTTCTCTAGGTGGGTTGGTTAAGGCGGGCGAAAGCTATGGGCTGGGGAGGTGAGGAAGGAGAACCATCTCTTCCAAGACGACGGGAAAACGTGCTCGGCAGTTCATTCACCGAAAGCGCAGAGCAGCGCTGGGTGACTGCCACCCGGGAGTAGCGCTGCCTCTGATGGGTTTGGATTTGTTTTTTTGCATCTTCATCCCTCTCCTCCAAGCTATACCTTGTCCGGGCCCCTTTCATCCTCACTCCCCAGTCAACGCGGGGGTCCCGACCCTCGGCGCGCGGAGGGACTGGGGCTCTGGACCCCTCAGTTCAGAGTCCTTGCTCGCTGCTAGGTGCCAGGGTACCCACCTGCCCTGATCCACGCCCCCGGAGTGCGCGGCTGGCCGCTGCCAGCAAGCCCACCCTGGGAGTCCGCATCGGAGGGATGCGCGGGGGGCAGCCTGCTTTCAGAGCCAGTTTGAAGACTGAAACTTGATTTTCGAGATGGGGGCTTCTGAGCCCAGCCACCCGACAAGAGCCGAGCCATCCAAGGACCCGGCAATCCGCCAGAAAGGCAGCTACCCCCGGGCAAGCGGGCGAGCAAGCTTCTGCACGCGCCCTCACTTGCGTGCCCCTCGTCGTCAAGGTGGGACGGGGCGCGGTTTCCGTACCCAGAACCTCGGGGATGCCCTGCCCCGATCTCCCCGTCGGTCTCTGCCAGACCTAGCCCCCTACCTCGAAAAGCTGAGGGATTTCTCTCCGGGCCAGATACTCCTTGGCTTCGTTGGTGTTCATGGCTGCTTCGCGCGTGCCTTGGGGCGCAGACGGGAGGCTCCGGGGCTGCGGCGACCTGGGCCGGGGCCGGCGGTGTCAGTGCCGAGCACCGTGCAGCCCTCGCTTTCACGCGCAAACACTCACACGCTCGGCTCTGCCAGCTCAGGCCGGGCTCCACTCCGCCTCTCCCCGGGGACTGTGGTCTCAGCGCTCCCGCCGCCCGCGCCTCTGTGCTGGTCCCCGCGCCCGAGCTGCGGGCTCGGCGCCGCGGCTTCCCAGGTTCCGGGCTGCGCGGCCGCCAGGAGAGAGGCGGAGAGAGCGGAGGAGGGAGGACCGCGCGGCGGACGCCAGGCAGCAGCCCGCCCGCCTCTCCGGCTCCACACGCGGTGCTCTGCACCTCCCGAGCCGGGTCTGCGGCGGCGGCGGCCAGTTACGCTGCGCGGGCGGTGCGGAGTGCGAGGGTGGATGCGGGTGCGCGCGGGGAGCTCGCAGTCACACCTCCCGTGTTACACTGCGCCCCCGCACCGTGCTTCCCCGCGCGCCGCCCCCGGGACGCGACCACCTGGAATCAGGTGGCCAAAGGAACAGACTCCGGGTCTGTAGGAACCTGCGACCCTTTCCCTTCCACACACACACACACACACACACACACACACACACACACACACACACACGAGTTACTCCTGAATGCCCAAGGAACTCCCAGGGAAAAACCTAATTGCCACAGCATTTATGGTTTATTTCTAAAGTTACCGATCCTTAGTAGGGAGCTGGGAGTGGGCAGTGAAGGGAACTGATGGTGTGGACGCCATCCCCTTATGATACTTCTACCCTGCACGAAAGTTTTACCAGTTAGTCTCGTTTTTCCCTGTTAGTGTTACGAATCCTTACAGTGAGGCTGAAATTCTCCTTAACAGAAGGATTAGTCAACTAGTTAATTACTTCTGTAGAGAGGAATGGGAAGGTGGAGAATTGGGTGGTGGTGGAGAGTCGGAGATTGCTTCAATTGGAAACGGGCTTAGTAGGTGGATGGGCGCCACCATTAATTTGATGGGAGGAATGTGCGGGTTGGTGAACCGCGGGCCACTGGAGGACCCTGGGGTGGGTATGGGTGGGTGTGATAAAACAACGTTTACTGGTTAAGTATCTTCTGTTACAAAGCATTATCAAGGTGCACCATCCCCGTCCCATCTCCCGTGATGACTCATTTCCCCCATCACGATGTCATTTCGTTGCCTGCTTGGAAGATGGTCCCTGTCACCCTGGGAACATGGCCTCTAGCTCTGTACAAGGCCTGACACGTGGGAGGGCTTGTCAGAGGAAAGGAGGCTCTGACAGGAATTGCCATCTGGGGTTGGGCCAGGGAGAGAGAGGGCACTGCAACTGCTTCCAGAAATCTTGTGTGAATGTCCGTTTCAAGTTCATCTTTGCAGATCTTTTCTTGGTTCTATTTCTGGTTACAGTAAAAACTGCTTCTCATGCCTTCACTATAGTGGCAGTTTTGTTTTATCAAGAATTAATTGAGTTTTATAAAGTAAAAGGGGGGAGGGAGCTCAAGAATTAATTGAGTTTTATAAAGTAAACGAAGTTTTCTGAGAACTTGTGAAACCATGTGTCTTATGGTAGCCTTAAATGAGGCAGGTGTTCCATAGAAATTGGTTTCTGCCCTCAGAATATGCCACATCATTTATAGTCCAGCTGCTGACGTTCTCTGCCTTGTTTAAGAGCAGATTGTGGAAGTTGTGAAGCATTGTCTGCTCTCTGTGCAACAGTGCGTGGTAAGTACCAGAGTCCGTGGCATGAAGGCTTAGCTTACACCATGAGCAGGCACAGCTGAGATGAAGCACCTAAGACTGAAGAGCCCACTTTCTGCAGGACCTTTCAAGTCATGCTTTATGGGCAAGAATCTGGCAGAACACAGCTCACATCTACTCTCCTAGGAAGGAATGGATCCGGAATGGATATGTGATTCTAAATGAACTTTAGTGTAGTCAGGCAAGGATGACAACTTGCTTGTATAAAAAGAATGAATAAGAAAGACTGCATTGTACTGAATAGTCTAAATAGCCTGAAAAACATAGTAACTGGAGAGAGATATAAGGAATTTCCAGGTAGCCTTATGCACTGACAAGCAGGGCTTTTTAGTATGTTCCAGATGTATTATAAAAGCAAGATATTCATAATTTCTTTTGCAAAGGGAGTTGTATCCTGTGAGGGAAGGGCTGTATGGGGGAACTATAATGCTTAAAAGCCAGGCTGATGGTTTGGAAGAGAGGAAATAGGCCAAGGAATAACACATACATTCTTGCCATAGAAAAGCTGGCTCATCACTTCCTGATGTGTATATATTTATATCTACATGTGTATATATATGGTAGGTATATAAAGGGTTCATGGCCCTTTGCCGTTTGTTTACTTGGGGATATGTTGTTGCATGCTTCAACAAATCAGGATCTTACTGCAGCCTAGTGTGTTCAGGCAGAATCTCTTCTCTCCCATGTTGTGCTAGGAGAGTGTGCTGGGTTATATAGCAGGGAATAAGGCAGACACAGTTCCTGCTATTTGGGCTTCCCCGCTAGCTCAGCTGGTAAAGAATCTGCCTGCAATGCAGGAGACCCCATTTTGATTCCTGGGTTGGGAATATCCCCTGGGGAAGGGATAGGCTACCCTCTCTAGTATTCTGGCTTGGAGAATTCCATGGACTGTACAGTCCTTGGGGTCACAAAGAGTTGGACACGACTGAGCGACTTTCACTTTCGAGGAATTCCTATTCTCATGGGGAGTGTGTGTAAGAAGTGCAGATGGACAGTAAGCAAATAAAAACACAGAAACAACATCAGATACTGATACATGAAGGGCAGATAAACAACTAATACCTGTCTCACCAAAGGCATAAGTGAGAACATATCAGATGTTGATAAATGTAATGATGAAAATCAAATATGCTTAACTATTGATTTGAAGCAAGGAGGTGGAGTTTAAATTGTTTGCTGGAAGCAGCAGAGGAAGTGGGAATAACAATAACCTTTGAGGTGGTAACTAGAACTTTCCAAAGGTCCAGACATCCTTGAGGAGGATCCGTTTGGTGGGACTGCTTCTCTGGCTCACTGCTGACACACAGGCTGTATCTCAGCAAAGGGCTGAACCTTGATCTGTCCCCAGGAAGCAGCTGTTTAAGAGTAGAGGCCATTGGCTCCATCCACGCAAAGACGGCTCAAGGACCCTATGCCCAGGAGAGCACTTCCCAACCCGCACAGAGATGGCTGGAGCCCCATGCTTAAATCCTCATATATTCATAACAGACATTTATGCCATCTATAATTTAAATGGGGCCAGTTTAACTGCAGAAAATTTTTACTGATAAAGTATCAAATATTTCTCATGCTGTAGTTCCTCACCCCAGGAAAGGAACCTGAGAGGATCCTCCATAAGCACTTGGTTTATATGACAGTAATGATGTGATGACAAGTTTGACCATAACACAAAGTAAAAATTTGTTGAGTGTTTTGAGTCAGACATTGTGATAAGCAATACTTTATAAAGTATAATTTATTGTTGTGTTCAGTCACTAAGTTGTGTCTGACTGCAATCCCATAGACTGCAGCAAGCCCAAGCTCCTCTGTCCTCCACTATCTCCCGGAGTTTGCTGAAATACATGTCCATGGAGTCAGTGATGCTATCTAGCCATCTCATCTTCAACCGCACTCCTCTCCCTTTGTCTTCAATCTTTCCCAGCATCAGGGTCTTTTCCAATGAGCTGGCTCTTCGCATCAGGTGGCCAAAGTTTTGGAGCTTCAGCATCAGTCCTTCCAATGAGTATTCAGGGTTGATTTCCTTTAGGATGGACTGGTTTGATCTCCTTGCTGTCCAAGGGACTCAAAATCTTCTCTAGCACTACAATTTGAAAGCATCAGTTCTTCAGTACTCAGCCACCTTTATGGTCCAACTTTCCCATCTATTCATGACTACTGGAAAAACCATAGCTTTGACTATACAGAACTTTGTTGGTAAAGTGATGTCTCAACTTTTTAATACATTGTCCAGGTTTGTCATAGCTTTCCTTCCAAGGAGCAAGTGTCTTTTAAATTCATGGCTATAGTCACTGTCCACAATGATTTTGGAGCCCAAGGAAATAAATCTGCCACTGTTGCTACTTTTTACCTTTCTACTTGCCATGAAGTATATACAAAGCATGTTACATATGCCATATTTGATTCTTAAATCAACCTCTGAGATATGTATTGTTTTCATTATATAAATGAAATAACTGATATTCAGAGGGCCTAATCCCCAGGTTATACTAGTAGTTACCATGAGTCCATCTGCAAATCCCTATGCATCCTCATCCCTTTGAACATCATTATATCATGGCTTTCAAGGTTAGAAAGGCCCCGCATGTGTGGGTGCTCAGTCGCTTCAGTCGTGTCTGACTCTTTTGTGACCCTGTGCACTGTAGCCCACCAGGCTCCTCTGTTTATGGGATTTTCCAGGCAAGGATGCTGGAGTGGGTTGCCGTTTCCTCCTCCAGTACAAAGGCCTGCAACCATTTTTTATTTTGTACCTTTCAATATTTGTTGAGAGTCCTTCCATTCTTCTGTTCTTATTCCCTTCCTTCCTTTCTTTTCTCAGCAGATATTATTTTGTGTTTGAGGGGAAACTTGTATAATGACAAGTTTAACTCTATAGATTTTTCTAATTGCTCAAGGTCCTTTTCTATTTGAAAGATTTTTCGTGGTTCAGAGGTTGAACTCAACATTCCTATTTACTGAAATCATGAATGTTGAATTTCTCTCATTTTGTACAAACCTCCCCCCACCCAATATCTCTCTCCTAATTATTTTATTTCCCTCATTAATTGACAACCCACTGGGCCATTTGTATTTTCACAGCCATTTGTAAATATTGAAAAAAATTTTTATATTGTAAATACAGAAAAAATTTTCTTTATTGTAAATATAGAGAAGACCTAAATATATGAGATTTCCCACATTTTGTAATTGGCCTGATAAATATGCCACTTATTTACATGTTTTTTAAGAAAATCTTTCCAAGGCTTTTACTTTTTTGCAAATATGGAATACACATACTGGTCTGGGGAATCTGGGGTAAATGCAAACTAAAATGATGATGTGTAGCACAATTCTTCAGCCAAAGAGGAATTTCCCTATGCTCACTTTCTTTCCTCCACACTGGCTGAGTAGCTGAGCCAGACACTTGGGATTCTGGATCTCAAAGATCTCTAGGAATTCTTGCATTATTAGAGGTTAGAGATAAGAGGTTGAAACTTCTCCTACAGTGTCTGAAAGTGTTAGGAAAATTTCCAAGTATATCTTTTGTACACT